TGCCCTCCGGCCGTCCTCAGCAATGCTGGACGTGTTTGGATTACGAATTGGCCTGGACGCTTCCAAGCGAAGTGCGAGGACTCAGCAGTGCTTTTTGAGAACGATACCGACACCACACTGGAGGGAGGACCAGGTGAAAATGGTAGCAGGAAGCAAAGGGATCAAGATCATCTTTGAGAAGGATGTCCTAGCCTATCCCAGTGGAAGACGTCAGAGCAAGGGGGCCAATGTGGGTGACTGCTCGAACTTCCGAAAGCCACATGCGCCGATAAACCTGTGTGTTGGTTCGAAGTCATGTCCGCGGGGCGGAACAATGGACGTCTGCTGGGCGAAACCATGTCCGGTCGCTGAGGTTGGGCCAGCTCCGGGATTTCCTGGAGTCGCATCCGGACAAGTCACTGGACCACGATGGGGGATGCGGAGAACGAGGAACTCAGCCGTGAAACGCCACGTAGCCACTCTTAAAGGAGGAAGCTCGTTTGGGGCTGTACCCACTGTCCAGGAACTCGCGACGTTGCGGTCCTTCGGCCCGATGGGACCGGCGGGACTGGAGGTGACCCGAGGGTGAGGCGAAGTCCGGATTCGGACCACGGTGGGAGTTCCCCAGGAGGTCTTTTTTCTTGATCAAGTCGGTGAAGTCCGTCGTTTTTTTCGGGGTAGTTGAGGGTGAATGACACCGAGGGTCACAAGAGACTAGGAGTTCCTCCAAAGCCACCAGGGCCCAGCCTGTCGCTTGGCCACTTGAGGTTCACGGTGATCCCACAGGGTGGCCGCAGGCGGAACTCCGACTGGGGGGTCAGCAGGTTCGCCTGGTCACCGAGGAGTGCTTCTTCCTCCGAGTTCGGAGTTCTTCTGCAAAGGAGAATGGTATGGTTTTGGACGTCCGCTTGAGCATGCTTATGCATGGATGAAACAAACAGCTCATCTCTGGATGATTGGTTTGAGGGCTCCGGTATTTCCACGGCTGGCTGGGCCAGGTATTGAGGTTCACCATGCATCACTGGATTCTGGTGCTTGTTGGGAATATGGTGAATTTTCCATTGATTCTGATTCATAGATGGATTTTCGCATCACCTGGGTGTCTCTAACCATTCTCACTTCTCCCCAAAGGTCAGTCTCATGATGTTTGGGACCCACCAAAGCAATGGCTTTCCAGTTTCTGAGTGTTGATCTGAAGGGTCTCCGTTCGAGTGGGTATCACCGGAAAATGAACGAACGACCTCTCTTCTGGCTGAACAGGTGATGAGCACCCGCCAGCACCCGCACACGGAGGAATGAGATGAACACCGAACTCCACCCTGACCGAAGAGGATTGACAGGGTCTCCCGCCGCTTTCCTGCTCCGGAGGTACACCGTGGCCTTTGCCGATCGGGGCGCGCCCAAGACCAAGGCGGAGAGCACGGACACGAAGAAACACGGACAGACGGACCTGGACACGGACACGGGTCGAAGAGCTTCGATTCAGGAGCTTTGCTCCTGCAGCTTTGCTTTTTGTTTTTAATATACTTCTACACCGGATTCTACACCATTGCCCTGCAGTGACCATGCAGTCAGCGATTGTGGTTCAGAGGTTTCTTTTTTTCTGCCCCTTCGCTTCGAAAAGAGCTGACCCAACTGAAGCCATTCCGAAGCCATGACGGTGCTACAGCATGTCTTGGAGCATACCGAAGAGGAGGACGGACTTAGGACCTTGCATCACTAGGATCAGGTTGTGCATGTTTGATTCTAGTGGATCACAATTGGGTGTTGTATGTTCATGACCCCGTATGAAGGTAGTTTGTATTCTTACTGTACATGCTTGTTCTTGTGCAATGAGAACTATGATGGAAGAGATGGCACTTGATGGGTGAGTTTTATGAGGTTGGGGAGGACCCAGACTTAGGGCGCTTAGCCCCTATGACCTTCAGGCGGATCAGGAAGTCCGAAAAGAACAGAATGCTCTGTCTATTCGACAAGACACACACTTGCCTTTCTTCGCACTGTCACTCTCACTCTGGATGAAACAACGCCACCACTCATCCCATGTGGTCTTTCTGCGTAGAGGAGATGGAGAAGATCCGAGAGAACATGAGCCAAGTCTTCACAACAATCGGCGTTGTAGCTGCCTTGATTTTGACCATGGAGAAGACCAACGAGGTAGACCTGTCCCAACATCATTACTTGCTGGTGAGACTGATGAGATGAGATGATCTTCACGTTCTTATCGTCTTCTCTAAAGCCAATCCACAATTCAATGCGTCATTTTGGATTGGGAAAGCCGAGAGCTAGGCCACAGAACAAATGACCTGCGGCCTTTGTAACAACAAGCAGAAGCAGTCTCATGGATTGATTTGTTACAGAATAACCAAGTGCGGCTCTCAAACCCTCCAACCTGGAGTCCATTGGGGTCCCTCGATTTTTGTTCGACCTCTGAATTTTGCGAAGTTGAACATTTGGAAGGGTCCGGTTCTGGGTACACCAAGGTCCCCCTATTGCTCTCACTTCTTTGCCCGATCTTGCCCCAGGTCATTCAGGATGATGATGCTTCCCACTGGATCGACTGCAGTGAAGTTCCGTGCAACACGATCCACGTGACTTTAAGTTGGTTCTCTCTTATTGGTTGTGCACATGCGGTGATGTACACCACTTGTGCCATTGTTTGGCTTAGTGTCACGCCTCAAGAGGCAACACGCGATTTTCTATATTGGACCCCTTCAATTATGCAGCGGCCTTCGCAATCAATGATGCTGGGTGTGGTTTGCTGGAGCTTTGATGCCTTGTGGCTTACCATCATCAAGCATGGCTCCAGCCTGATGATTTGGCTCGCTGTCCCAGCGTTTGGCCTTTTGTTCCATGTGGCGTGGACCTTCGTGCGCATGCGATTCTTCTGCTGGAATTGGCCCAAAGAACCATGTGGCTACTACCAAACAGCTTGGAAAATGCAGGGTGTCAAACAACCTGCTGGAGCTGAGGCTGCCTATCAGCCCATTAATACAGGAGATGCTCTTGGCGGGTCCGGCGGGCCAGCGACCCGCTGAGTGATAGAAAAGTAGAGCCGTGGGACAAGGTTAAACCTATCCGATCCCACATCTGCCAGCAGCAATGTTGCCTGCCTGACCATTAATACATATGAGGCACCTCCAAAAGAAGGCTGCCTTGTACAGAGCCTGGGCGCTTTCGCAGTGTAGGATGCGAAAAAGTTGCTACCAAGTCCACCGAAGGTACTATACAAAATCCTGCGCTGGTCTAGAGTCTAGTCGAGGGAGGGAGGCGAAGCCGTTTCGCTGCTTCGCCTTTGGCGTTGATGAGTGGCGTTTCCCCAAGTCCTCGTATGGTTTCGCTCAACGAGGCAAACCACAACCGAAGCATGACATGTCCGGGAAGCCTTATAGGAGCATGCCTGAGGATTTTCCCACTTAAAGGGGCGTGGGGCCGGGCGGCAAGTACTTGAACATGCGACCTTCGACCGCACTTGTGTCTGGTCGAGGCCCGGGAGAAAGGCGGCAAGGGCAAAGCTGCTCCCAAAAGCGCCTGGGACGGTGGAGGTTTTCAGGTGGCGTGGGGAGCCGGCGGTGGGTCCCTGCTTTCTCACTGGCCTGTTATTTTCAAGGCTCGTGAAAGGGCAGTGGGTCAAAATCTGAGAGAATCTGGTGGACCAATGAACAGAATAGACAACAAAGGAGGTCAACCAGGTTTTGACCCACAGCGAAGTGAAGGAACAATCCAGCAGCTATTCTTTGTTCCACAGTGCTTGTCGAGAATGCCAACTTGCCGGCACACTTAAGACCATTCCATCCATGAATATCATGTGACCAACTCTGTGAGCTACAAACGTCAAACTCTTACCATATGGCCCAAAGGCCATGGTTTTGGATGTAATATAAGTATATATATATAATTATAGTAAATTGATATGTATAAAATACGTATACCTTTCTCACTACAAAGTAGTACATATTTATGTACACATATACACACATATTCTTGGAATGAGCGTGAAAGGGGAAGGATCCTTAGCCAGAGTGCCGGCTGCTAGAGTGGTGATTTGGTACCCAAACAATCAGAGCAGCTCTTGAGGATTGAACATTTCTCTTGGCATCGAGACCTGGGGCGGCTGACAGAGAGAGAGAGAGAGAGAGAGAGAGAGAGAGAGAGGGGAGAGAGAGAGACACTCTGGGCTCGCACCCGCTCCAATCATTCCAAGCTGGATTTCAGGTTTTAGGCCCCTCATAAACTTTGTGGAAGGACGCTATGCTCGGTGGAGGCCATCGCAAGTAGGTTGGAGGCCATCGCTACTAGTAACAAGAAGCTACTAGTAACAAAGGTTGCTTCTTGGGTTTCCTCGTTTGTGAGCATGGATCAGCTCCTCCTCAGAACTGGAATGGAAGATCAGCCAGAAGACCGACGGAGACACCGCTGGAGGTGGAGACGCCCCCGTGGCACCGGGTGGCGATTCGGTCGAAAGGGAAGTGGGATGGGCCTTGCAGATGGGCATGGATGTGAGAATGCCACTGGTGGTGTTTTTGGCGTGACAGCGCTGGTGAGACCCGGATTGGCGCCGTTCTAACTGGAAACAGAAGACTTATTCGACGTATTTCAGCTTGGATCAGTCTGAGGGTCCATTTCTTGGCCAGAATGGCCATGGGATGGACACATCGAGCAACGTGTGCATGACTCAGCAGACCTTGGTCGTTGGATATTGAGTTTTTGAGAGAAACTTTCTACACGGTTGAGCACATTCCAATCCGGTTGACACTGATGCTGTAACTCTGCTGCAGCTGTTCTTTCGCGGCTTGAGCAGTAGTGTTAGGTATTCTTTGCAGGAGTTTTTGCCGCTCAATCAAAAAGATCGAAGTTCACACATGTTCACGGACTTCCTTGCATGTGTCCTACACAGCTTGTCTCAATAGTTTAAAGCCTCGAAGGCTGCTACCGGCAACAATTGTGTTGCATCCTCTTGCCACCTCATTTCTTGCTGTGGCCTTTTGAAACCGCCACCCATTCGTCAGCAGCGGACCGGTTCAATCTGGTCAGATCCTCACCACTTCTTCTCCATTTTTCGGACGCGAGTGCCGGTGCGCTGCGTGTCCCATGTCTTGCTGTTGGGCTGCCCTGCTTGGACGAAGTGCCAGTCCAGAGGACAAACCCAAGAGGCAAGGTAGGGTCGGTGTGGATGGTGGCGTTGTATTTTTGTGTTGTAGAAACATCTCCTCTTCCATGGAGTCCATGGTATTCTCGGTCTGGGTTGCGGCCTGTTAGTGAACAAACATGAACAAACAAAATGCTCTCCGTGAAATGACAAGTGTTCAAAGATGGGCATTTTATCTCTGGAATAGTATAGAAGGTTTAAACTCGACCTACCAATGCTTGAGATCTGGGGGGCCACTGTTTCAAACATGCGTGCTTCTTGGCTTGCGATGGGGGTTGGTTGTAGTTCTCCGGCAAGTCTTTACAGCATGTTGGATCAACGGGGTTGCTTGCCCTTTACACATGTTGCTTCATCACCTCCCAGACAGATACAATCATCGGTTTACACCATTGACATCCGCAGTTACTTCGGGTCTGTGGTTTGAGTGCCCACGACCCACAAAGTGTGACCAGAATTGTTTATCTATTGGGTTAGTTCGACCACTGCGACATATTATATAGTACATAATTATTATATAAATATATATATATATGTACACACACACGCACCAACCCAGAATTAACTTACATTGACATACGACTGTCTCTCTCTCTCTCTCTGATATGATCACATATCAAAAAAGAGAAAAACTCCCATGTCCTTTGGGAGCACGGCCACCTCCGACCATGCCTCGTATGGCCACACACGGCTTCGACATTACAAGACGATTCGTGCATGTTTTTGTGTGAGCAAAAACGCCTGGGCCACTGGGTCAGGTTAGAGGTCTTGGTTCACCAGCTGAGTGGTGAGCTCCTTTGCCAGCTCTATGTGGACACTGAAACGACCGTGGAGCTTCTCAAGTGCCCCGGACAGTGAGATGTTGAGTCATTCTGTTGGGGGAAGGCTGGGAATCCCTTCTTTGGGAGAATGAGGTTGATCAGAATATCTTTTGTATTCTTTTGTCGGGTTTTACCATTTCTAGTTCTTTTCTTTGGGGGTGTGAATCTCAAGGACATACTTTGGAATGTCTTCTGGATCCTGGCCTCGGATCGGATAACAGTTAGGACATGATAATTCAACTGCTCCACGAATTTTGCTGGAGCAGCCTCAGTGAGGCAAAAAACTCAAAACGCTATCTAATGCCTCACGTTTCTCTCAAGGTCAATAGAACGCTAGGAGCACATCTAATGATACCTCATTCATGTTGAGATCAAGACCAAACACAACTTCAACATGCCGAGTAAATTCTGTGGAAAAGATTACCTTTCGTTCTTTTTCGTTTTCCAACGCTGTCTTGCCAATGCCCAGGCACCGGATTCAATCTCTAACGGACATCCCACAGACCAGGCCGGCTGGGGGGAGGAAAGGTCTATTAAGCTGGGCCGCCGACTCTTGTCGATCCTTTTGAATGAAGAGCCTGTATGCTTATGCTTTGTTGGTAGGAGCGGTGCTGATAGTTCAAAGGGCTTTTTGTGGTGCTTTTTGGTGAGTTCGGGCTTGTGACATGGTGGAAATGAGATCAACAAGGAAACGTTTTCACAGCCACGAGTGTGTTTTGCCTGAGACATACAGAGACTCTTCGGATTGGATCTGCTTCGGGGGCTCAGGCAGCACCTTCTTTGTGGTGGCGCTGCACCGTTGGCCGAAGGTGCCAAGGTGGTGTCTTGGTGGATTCTTTCTCAGCTGGAGCTGAGTGGAGCCGGAAGCAAAGATACATCATAAATCCATCCAAATATAAACATATATATATATATACCTAGAACCCATTTGACCTCTGTTTTAATAGGAAAAGACCATATTTTGGCTCCCAAACAGGGGTTCATCAGGTTCTAGGTATATATATATATATAGGCAGACATTGTTGCTTCAGGTACTTTAGGTCCCAGACATCACTTTTTGGTTCAGGGAAAGTGCGTGTGAGGTTTTGATCCGACTGTGTGTGAGGCAGTCAAGTATTGTGATTACGTGGTGACATACGGTGGGACATTTGGACTGACAGATAACAACGAAGCTTAATTCTTCCAGGTTTTTTCCAAAGGCGCTTCAAGCACCATGACCATGAAATAAAAGAGACGCCGCTGAGGGGACAGGCAAACATCCATGCCTTGACTCAAGGTATGCAGTAGGGCAGGGGAGATCAACACCTGTTCCAAAGCACCTGATGGGTGACTCTTGTTGGCGTGTCCATCCTGCACCTGCTGAGACCAGACTTGGAACAGCAGCAAATCAACACGACCCACCAGAGAACAGCTCCCGAAACCAGCGAACATGGGCCAAGAGACGCCAAACACAACTCTTCGGGCCGAGCACCTCTTCTCCAGTGACATCTTGGAGGATCGGCCCGAAGATCACTCACTGGGCACCTCTGATCCAGTGTGCCAGTGGTTTGATCTTCCCTGTGCCGTTCTTCCCTCGCCTCAGGCAGCGGTGGCCGACGAGCGAGTGGAACTGCAGCTCATCCAGCGCCTTGGACTGAAAAGACTTAGACTTTGCAGAAGGAAACTACTACCGAAGCGGAGGAAGCTATTATATACTTAGCTACCACTTCAGCAGTGGTTCGAAGGGATCGCAGGTGGGACGCCAGCTCACCAAGGATGACATTTGTTCCAGCAAGTGGCAAAGGTGCTGTTTTCATATGGGTAAGAAGAGCTTGAGACACTGACCTTCGAAGAAGGGGCTACTCTAAATCTATAATCATGGCCAATGTGTGAAACTACATTGTGACAATTCAACACAAGCATGGACATTCTAACTGTGAACCAGGTGTTGGGGAAATCCGAATCACACCACGTTCCCTTCCAACCCCGAATACTACTCATTCTTGGTGTTTACGGTCTTGTCAAAGATTGTGCTTCCACCACAAACGGGCATTTCTGTTTTTCCCATAGCTCATCTTTGGCAACCCTGCCTGCCCCTCGTGCCAAGCGGTTTTCACACTCCGCGGCAAATTTGTTGAGTAGCCCTCAGTCTGATGTTTTCCACTTCGGGCATCCAAAGTCGTTTGGGAGGAGCGCCGATCCGCACGTTTCGTCCGAGGTCCTTCAAACCGGTGGTGGCTGACTTGCTGCCACCCAAAGACGGCTACGCGCCTCGGCTACGTTCGGTCGGGCCGAACGAAGAGATGGATCGTGCGGCACAAAGCCTTGGTCGATGCATTTGGTTTCGTTTCCAGTTGGTCGATGCGTCCGTTTTGGAACCGCCAACTTTGTGGCTTGGCAGGGTTGTATTGGCGTTTGCCGGTTGTGGCTTGGCATGATCAGGTCGAGTTGGTGGGGATTGAGATGATGTTCAACTGTGCAGTCAATTTTCGTCACAGTCTTGGAATGGACAAACGTGCCGGGATTCCATCTGCCACCAAGTTCACATCCAGACAAAACACGCTGGACAAGAATCGCAGCATACTCAAATCCACCTCACCTTGCTCTACTCTCAACTGACTCATATACACGTTTCTACCGTCTTTATTGGGACCACACGTTCACCCACGCCACGCCATGCGAACGTTCGTGGGACGGCCCTGGACCCGAAACGAGGTTCTCCGAAAGGCCATCAACGACCGAGACGTGGATTTCTGCTTGGGGCTCTTGACCTTGGAGAATCTGCCAGGACCGACGGTCGGAGTTTCGGGGCCATCCAAGAGGCGGCCCTGGGGCCTGGGGCGGCCTGTTTTCTTTTTTGTTGGCAGTTTGGTTTGGATGGTGAGCTGTAACACATCAATCAATTCTTTTGGCAACAGAGGCCAATTCCATATTCCAAGAGACTGAGAGACTTCTTCAAAGGGGACACTCTAGGTCAAACCTCACTCGAAGACCGGTGTCCGGTCCAGAAGGGACTATAATACACGGAGGTGGTGGAGGAACTTCCTCTTCCAGCAGTTCTGTTTTTCACGGAACGCTGCACATCATCTTCAGCCTGGAATTACCGCATGATTCTGTGGTCTCCTAATGTACACCTTTGGTTTTGCAAAACCCAGTGCAGATACTAACACCTTCTAATACAGATGGGTCGAGTTCTTCATAAAATAATACCCAACTGCAAGCCACAATATTCTTGTTCTCGTGTGGATTTCTGGATTTCCTTCATCAACCTGACAGCCCGACAAAACATACCGTGACTACCGTGTGCCACTGCTGCACGCAGGACTCAATGAGAAGGACCGCTGGTTTTGCCCGTCTTGTGCTGGCGTGCGAGCGTGTGGGTGGGTAGGAAGCCGTCATTTGTTATCCCGTCATCCTATCTCCTGGTGTGCTCTCAAGCCTCGTTACAAGCCGGCAAGTTTAGAGTCTGAAACCATCTGTCTCTTCTGTATTTCTGGGGTTTCAGGTCTCAGGTCCTTTTTGTTGGACGTTTAATGGAACATGTGGGGTACGGCGGCCAAGCGACACGTGACTCGAAGGATACCAGTGACTGGACAGTGCTGCACCATGCAGCCTGGTGTGGTTTGAAGGAGGCTGGGCACCAGGGGGATGTTATACCCGGATTGGGGCAGCTCCCGAGTTCTGCAATTGACCCTCCTCTTGGTTTTTACTGCCAAGCAGGTAAAAGATGAATGAACAGGAGGGAACCCCCAATTCCCGATGCCATCTTCTACAGGTGCAATCGACCGCAGCGACTTCGACCGGAACGACTTCCTGCGTCGCTTCCACTGCGTCACTGCCTTCCTGCCGCCGCCGCCGTCCAGGTCTGCCACGGCATCCTGGAGCGGAGCGACTTCACCGAGGCCAACGCGCACGACATCTCCGGCTTGACGGTGCGCCCCACGAGCTCGCTCCGCGAGCGCTCCCGCGTGTGGATGAGCTCGAGATGGGATTCGTAGCATGAGCATGGGCCAAGGCATGTCAGGGGTTGATGACCAGGTGCGGTCGAAAAGCAACTTGCACCAACGACATCCGCTGGTATCGTGGAGGGTGAACGGCAGTTTCCCTGAAGCTCAGGGTCAAGGTGAAGGGGCTGCTTCTCTGGGGCAGACCTTGCCCAACTCTAGACTCCAGCATTTACAAGACCATGCTATCACTCTCGGCCATTGAATTTAGCGAAAGCTATGGTTGGCTTGGGCCATCCCTCCACAGCGCACGGCCTCACCTCGCCGTCCACCGTGTTCGAAAAGCGACATGAGGCCTTGCATTGCGCGGCCTGCCGCGGGCATTTGGGAGCTGTGCTGGTCTTGTTGGCGACCTCTTCCTTCACGGTTCCTTGTGCTCATGTGGCGATGTTCTCGTGGGTCGTGGGCGTGCTTGCAAATTCGGGAACTTGTTTTCCCAAAGGCCAACGACCTGGAACTTGTTTTTGTTTTGGAACTTGCTTTGGGGTCCAAGTTTTGGTGCCAGCTGTTAGGCATTTTATGTATATAGCTCCTTTCTAGTTAAGTTACATAGAAATGTACATATTATAGGGAAAGTAGGGAAAGCCCTTCAGGAGCAGCCAGATATAGGTTTGCAGGAATGGCCACTGGCACTAGACTTCCCCACTTTAGATCTTTCTTTTCACCTGCCTTTGTACGTTGGCTCTGAGCAGCAACTGAGCCAACAGCTACCTCTCCTTCATCGGACCTGTCAAACCTTTCCTGTACCAACTGGCTACATACCGCGAAGCCCTGCGCGTAGTTCAGCACAAACAGTTGCGATGTCTGGTGCAAGATGAACGGATCGTCCCAACACCATGCTGTGGTCAATGCGCAAAAGGAGTGCTGATTTTTGAACAGAGGCTTTGGAGAAGCATCCATCGGCTGGTCAGATTAGACACCACTGTGGGTCCGCAGATCGCTCCCAGTTGGAGGCTCGGGGAGGCCGACGGGGTGCTGAGGTGGTGAACTCTGCCGACGCTCAGATAGACCGCAATGGCCCTTTGGACCGCAGAGAGGGGCCGCGAGTTTGCGCCTCTGGATAGACCGAAGGACGGGATGGCTTGGGACGTGTGTTGTGTGCGGTGGTGGGTTTACTGTGGACTTTGTGGACGACATTTGATGGGAGACACTGGGTGAGGTATATACGAAAGCCAGCCGATAGGCTAGGCTTGAGCTTTTAGAGCGAACGAAGTGAGTTAAGGGGGTGTGGGGGGGGGTGGTCGTTGAGAAGGACCTTTTGAGAGGGTAAAACCAGAGCTTGGTGGGGGAGAGCGCTCCAAAGCGAGGATCAGAAAAGCAGTGAAAATGGGGCCTCGTGATGCGAGTGATGTAATGGACGCCGAGTAGTGCATCATTAGCATCATGAAGGGCCTTGGAGGCTATTTGGACAATGGGCACTGAGCACTCGAGTGGAGACAGGGCCCATGTACAGAGCAGCCGCATGTAGGATGAGAGTTTGCAGGAGAACCCGTAACTCGGGAAATTCACAGAGAACCGAAAGTGACATGAGTTCAAGTCCATGAACTTGGATTGAGTTTCGGTGGGGATGCCTGCGAGGTTGACTACATATCCGCATCGGGTTCCTGCCCCCTAGCAAGAACTATACTTGCACCATGTCCTCGGTCGAGTGGATGCTTCTCGCGGCGTCCACACGCACCGAACGTTTTTCCGGCTTGCCGGTGCAGGATAGATCGATAGATAGATGGATAGATAGATAGATAGATACATAGATAGATAGATACATAGATAGATAGATAGATAGATTAGATTAGATTAGATTAGACTAGATTAGAGTAGAGTAGAGTAGAGTAGAGTAGATTAGATTAGATTAGATTAGATTAGATAGATAGAGATAGATAGATAGATAGGTAGGTAGATAGATAGATAGATAGAGAGATAGATAAATTCTATATAGTACTGACTCATGACGTCGCCTTTTTTGCTGGCAGCCCTGGCCGAATCCAGTCAGCATGGGTCCACGGCCCAAAGATCTACACATGCAGGTGCCAACGTCAAGGCCTCTGAGTGAGAAATGTTGATAAGAAAGAGAAGAATAAAGAAGGTGTTTGGATCGTTTAATAAAGGCTCCTTTAAAGGAACAAGACTGTGTTTTGGATCGAGCCAGAACATGACTCACTGAAGTCCAGGCATGTGCATCGATAAGCACACAAATCCTCACTCCTTTGCTAGCCCAAGCTACTCTTGCTGGACCTCCCCTTCTGCGCCGCGGGATCAAACGTCCGTGTCCCGGCTAAGACGTGCCCGTTTTTCGACGTGGATGCGTTGCAAACTTCAAACACTCCAAATGTAACAAACACATACTGTAACTGCTTCTTTTCAAACGCGTGCCGTACTCGCGCGCGCGCTCACTATGGAGAAGGTCTTCCTGCGCGCGCGGCGCCCACCGCGCGCGCACGTGGTATCCCACCACTCGAACTCACACGGGATTCCCGTTTGCTAACGCTGATGTCGCCTTCCAACTTCCATAAGATGCATACCTTCCTGCATGTGATAAACACATGCCATTGCCTTGTGATGATGACCTACACAAACATACAACGTATCGCATTTCTCTTTCACTACTTCTCTCCCTCATACCAAACTTATCCCAAAGCCGCCCGGCTTGCTTCTTTGTTCCCTCCATCACCATTACATACGCCCCCCCGCATCCGCGGCACCACTGACCCGCAAGCTTCCGACCATGTGTCTTCTGCCGCGACGCCCGCCAGAAAAAGAGACACTCGTCTGGCGGCTGCTGGCTTTCGTCCCCCCTTCTCAGGTATATATATATATAATATATATATATAATTCCATTGGAAGGGGCCGACCCTCCAAAAAAGAAGATCTGCCGCTCGGCGGTCATCCATGCGACTCACACTCAAGTGCCTGAAAAAACTGTTTCAAAGGCCCACTTGACTCAACCCTTCTAACAATGACCCTGAGGCGAATGGGGAAAGAAGCGAGGCTTACTGGGATTCGAAGGGATTTGAGGGTTGGGTCTGTGGTTCTTTCATGCAGCCAGACATCTCCTTCCTTCATCTTACGGGGAGTAAGACATGGACCCAACACCCAACACCACGCGAAGCTGGGGCTTCACAGATCGGTGCTGCTTCGCCCAGGGGTGGGCTGGAGCGCTCGAGACATCGCGGCCACCGGGCTGGACCGTGTCAGCCGTGGGGTATGAGTCATGAGTCATGAGTCATGTGATGGATCGATATGGATCGATGACTGGATCTGTCGGTCCGTTTGGGATCCGTTTGGGATCTTTTTTCTTTCAGCGTGAGGCTGAGAAAATGGAGATGGGTGAACCAGCTTTGCTTCGTTTTTGGAGATCTGCCATCCAGAGGAACCCCAAACTTGCCAAACGACATGTTTTTGGGTTCCATGAAGTCCATGTCCGTGGTGGTGTGGCTTTTGTGGTGCAGCTTTTTGTGACCTTGATCGTTTGCACACTGTGCTCTTCCTTGGATAGCTGAGCTTGCCAGCTTAGGAAAGGTATGGCCACAAGCATATCGTTCAGGCGATAGACGACGCTGACCGGTTTTGGAAGCGTGCACGCAGCTGATCGCTGATCTCATCTTCCGCTGCGGCGCGACTGTTCTGTTCCCAGAGCGGAGAGAAAAGAGAGACATCGTTGTCGGCAGGTGCTTTGAAGGTAAGCTGTCCGCAGGAAGTTGCCATGCATCCAGCAATTGGTGGATGAAGTTGTATTTTCTTATTCACACATTGGATTTGACTTTCCAAGTGCACACTCTTTCATGGGGTTTATCAATCAGTTAGTTTGGGTCTGTACAGGCCACAGACTTGAAAAAGAAGGTGAGTGCTAGTGGTGAAACATTGCAAATCACTGTGTTTTTTCATACTTGTTCCATGGTTCTGATTGGTTTGCTGGCAGACAACCTGTATACAGGTCCTTGTGCAACACATCTTTGGTCACCAGTATTTTTCCGATGCCGGCCCATGCCGGCGGCACATGTAGACCTCATTTTGGCTCTTGCAACAGGCACTGATGCCGCAGAGAAGGCCGCTAGGCGCGGGTGAGGGAGCTGTGGTACTGGTCAAAGCAGGTGAGAATCATGAGATACTAGATTGGTCTGTTCAGTTTGGTGGTGGGGCATACTGACAGGGTGCTTTCTTTACCCACGGTGAATCCTTGCAAACCTGGCGTCCTTTGAATCTAGGACGTCCTGGACGCACCAGTGAAGACAATGCTGGAGGGTGGAGGTCGCCCAAGGGCTGTGCAAACGACGGGTGGGGCCAGGAATTCCTTGGTATTTTCCATCTCCAAAGCTGGACCACAATGAGAATGACCTGGTGATGACGCACACCTCCAGGTGAACATTGAGTTATTCTATGGATGATTGATGAGAACGAAGAATCCCACCTTTATATTGATATTTTTATTTGTCTTATATATATATATAAAGGTGGGATTAATATATAGATATATATATATAGAACGTAATCCCACCTTTATATATATATATATATTTGTCTTAGAGATTACGCGGAAAAGTTCTGTTCATCACCTGATCATCCACTGCCACCGGCAGGTCAGCTCGCCGGAGCGACGAGGAGGACCCAGATGCCACTGCCTTCGATGTGGGAGAGCACAGTGGCGGTTCCGGGGTGGTCGGGGTGGGATAGCCCTGCTGCAGTATGAAGGCTTCGTTAGGCATAAAAAGGGGAGGTACGGTGGAGCTGGCAGGTGGGCACTAGAGGATCTCAAGCACATTTTGTGAGAGAATGAGTCAAAGAGCAGCATAGGTTGCAAAGTTCTCCGAGTTGAGTTGGTTCAGTGGATTTCCCGGTTTGGATGGCCAAGTGGTGCTCGGCCGGAAGCACAACGTCACCGGAGTCGGAAGCCAGGGCACTTGCGTTTTTCAAGAATGGAGAGGCTGATCAGACACAGTGAGGTCGAGTGAGAGTCGGCTGCGTGACATTTTGTGGGAAAGACTTCCCTCTCCTTTGATCCCTGGCATGCTGTTGGATTTGGCTCAGTGTTGCCAGGTCCCGCACATGCTCCTTAGATCCATCATCCGTCCTGTCCGCCATCCGTCCTGTCTGCCCTACTCCGAGGCGGAGGAGCAAGAGGACGCCGTGGCGTGAACCCGGAGCGCGTGCTCTGCGCCGCGCGCGTGCTCTGCGGCCGACCCAATGGTCGCTTCATTCACCGAGATGGGACCTGACCCGGACCTCCCGATGCGAGGTTCTTCCTCCCCGAAAACACCTGAGGGGACCACGTTTCACCCCAACACCGGCAGGTGAAAGACGAGAGTGAACGAATCCCAGATCCGGTGGCGCTCGGAAGATCCGGTGGCTGTTTGATTGGTGGCTGTTTTGGTGACGTGGTTGTTTGGTCGGCAAGGACAGAGGACCTGACGCGCCTGGAGAGGACAAGGCAGCTGAGGCACGAGCGGAGTTGAAGTTCAGAGTGGAAGGAACCCAACGATCCATTTGGATAGGACCCCACTACCATTATTTTTTTGTTGAACCTCAGCGAGAAAACACCAGCTGCACCATGTGCACATCCCTAAGCAAGAGGGTTCCAATCTTGAAGGGCTGGCCGAATGTATCGCACTAAAAGGGACTTTCGAACAACCAAAACGTATCTAGCATTGCGGAGGCTGATGACGAGGCGTGATCGTGACAGAGCGTCACGGTCAGCCACCAGGCAGGAAGAGATGTGGGTGTGGGTGAGAACGAACCCGGCATTCTGTTTACTTTCGGGATGCATTAGAAGCATTGGGGACAGCCATGTGTGAAGCTTCCAAAGTATACATTTTCGTAATGTCTTTGTTTGCAGGTTGGCCAGACACTCCTGTGGTCTGACAGTTATAATCCATGCCTGACAGGCCGGTTTTTGATCTTAGGCTGACCAAAACGTTCTCGGGTCTAGGAGCAGATTTTTTGTTTCGCGTGCTTTCGCTATTTTCGGCTAACGCCAGCTAACGCCCCCTTTCCTCACCTTGTTTCATGGTCTACTTGCCGGCAATGCTCACCAGGAGTTCATGGTATGCTGTGCTGTTATGTTGAGATAACATAGGTTGTCTAGTAGTCTAGGTTGCTTGGGCATACACTCCTAGCCACCAACACAACGGAGAACCACCTTCTCCCAGACTCCACATGGCAGGTGTGCTGATGGCATGTCATCTGGCCAAAGTTTTAGGATCCGAGAAACTGTGCAAAGATTGAACCATTGGAGAGGTGTCAAAAAAGCCGCGAACTGCAAACTGTGTGAGGTGCTGCGTTGCAGTGTTGCTAGGGCGAGCTTTGCGTATATTGGAAAGGGTCCTCAAGCCAAGGCAAACTTCACAACTGGAAGAGCCAGACTTCTCGGCCTCTCTCAGACTGACGGATGGCTGGATTCGATCATGTTCGTGTGGTCCACAATTATTCTCCCAACACCAACATCGTGAATGTGCAGACAGTGTGCCTCGGAGCAGGAGCTCACTTCTTTACACACGTTGTGCCAGGGTTGTGCCCTGCTGGCAAAAGAATTGATCATGGGTTGTTAGGTAATATCATGATGATGAATACATGCTGGTATGGATTGTCAGGCTTCATTCTCGGCCTGCCGGTGTTTCTTGCCACGCTGGGGGGGTGATGGAATGACCAGTCCGAACAAAGGGTTGTGCCCAATGGCACCAGAAAGAGGATGTGCTTGGGCTAAGGGGGCAGCTGAAGGTACACTCAGGCATATGTAAACACACTGAACAAAAGTCCACGGAAAACCGAAACTTTTTGTTGTGTTATTATGTTGGAACGTCTGGAAAGTAGTTATGCAAAGGGCAATGTTTGCGCTTCCATGTTGCCGTTGAGAGTGTACCGTCCCAAACACCAGGATCACACATGATTGGCTTTTGGTTTTGTGGGTATGAGTGGGTGTTGGTAGGTCCAGGGTCGATCCGGGTCGTGGTCGGGTAACATAGGTGTGCTTCCTTTCCGACGCCAAGTACCACGACTCAGTCGCCTTGCATGGCTCGTTTGGCTCCACCGCCACCGCCAGTGCCGTTTGGATTTGGAGTCCTCCACGAGAGTGAGGGCCGACGGGATGGGTGTGCCCGGCTAGTGGAGAGGCCGACCGCCCATCACCTCCGCGCGGTGTTTGGATCGGGAATGGCCGGAATGGGCGGTTTGGGCGAATGGGGGGCTTGTCTCTGGTTGGGGTGAAAGAAGCTTGCCGGCCGTGCACTAGTACAAAGGTGCAAGAGGACCGCGAGGATCCTGCAATGTTTTGTTTTCCGGCTTACTTGGAGGTCAAGTGTCAGAGTTCCCTGATTTGATGAGCTTTGTATTTTGAGATGGTCGACATTTCGTTTTTGATAGACATAGGGAAGCGAGCCATTTCGATTCCCAACAATGGAATCATTCAAAATCTGTTTCAGGCCTTGCTTCTCCTTGCTGGTCTCTCCCCCACTGCAAGGTGATGGGAAAATCTCAGGTGTGGTCGCTCGTGCTTGGCTGGGACATGGCTGGGGAGTCAGGGTGGCAGTAGCAAACCTGTAGGTCCTGTAGGTTTTGCTTTTGGAGGTGGAACTTGTTGAGTACAGTCTATATTCTAGTTTTTATAACGCTAGGGGTATCCAATCCAGTCCAGGACCTTGCATCCCAACATGTTTCAGCTGGAGGGACTACTGTTGCTAAGGGTTGCACTCCTCATCGAGTCGTGCGCCAGCCAGACTTCGTGCGTACAACGACAGATCTCATTTTGACGAACTTAAGAGATTCCCAAGTTGGACAGTTTGTCAACGGGTCGTGCAGCCCATTTCGTGGTGGATGCGCGTCTCGAAAAACCCTCGGAGGTTCGACCTTCCATTTTTGCACATCTTGCTGGTGTAACCGGTGCACACTGGGTCAGGGGCTCATCCTTGTGTTGCTCATCAGTCTGGTGAATGCTGAGCCGTATTTAAGGCACTTGCAAGGCCGGGTGATTCGGGCGGTGGAGAAGAGGATTTTGGAGTCAAGGTTTGTGAGGAGCTTGTTTTTGGACTCTGCTGCACTAGTAGTACGAGGGCGGGACCCTCTCGACTCAGATGCACGGGTCGTAGGAACTGTGTGGAATCCACGGGGAGATTCTCAGGGTTTGAGACAGATCCATATTGTCAGCTAGAAGCCGGACCTCGCAGCCAGGCACCAATGACACGAATGACACGAATGACACAAATCTCACAACCACGACCGATGCCAACCTCACGGCCACCGCTGCTCCAACCACCACTGCTCTGACGACCACGTCGCCCACCACGATGCCCACCACGAGCACGGCCGCCGCAGTGCCATGGCCCGACGAGTTGGCCGCCCCGGGTGTCGACTTTGTTGGGGCAAAGGAACACAGACCGAAACCTGCCTCTGTTGATTCTTGAGACTCCAAGCACAAATTTTTTAGGACACACCCGCATGGCCATGAAACACATACCAGCATGGCTGGGGGAGAGCAATCCCAATCACCAACAGCAGTGAATGGGCGTCTCACCAGATCCTGAACAAAGACCCAAGCAACAGCTGCCCCCTGAAGGGCATTTCCATTTCAAGAATTCAATTGTTCGTCCTAGTGATGGGGATCTTAAAGCAGGGGGTGTTGTGGTTTGGTCAAATTTGTAAAAGGTGTTCTCAGC